GAAGAATACCGCTGGCCTTCCAGGGGTCAAGCGCTCCGTTAGGGAACACAACGTTAGTTACGTTGGGCTTTAGTCCCCCGTATGTGGCGACTGTCCGGTCGACCGCTTTCTTAATGCTTTGACCCGTTATTTGCGGCCCGAATATAGCGCCGCACTGTTGGACGTAATACTCGACGGGAACGTTGTGTCCGAACGGACTGTTTGCCAGTTCAGTGGTGGGGAAGTCGGCGAATGAAGTGCACGTTTGATAAGTCCATTGTCTGACTATTAATATACAGTAAATAAGTATAAATAAATTATGTAAAATGTTAAAAACAAAATTAACAAGTACTAATTGATATTTTATAACGTGTTAAATTTAACAATTAAACAATTGCTTACACCACGACTTGTGATCGACAGTAGTATTTTGTAAGGACTTGATATAATCGGCGTGTTTTATGTTATTGCAGGGCAGTGTTTGGCCCGTAACGTGTAGACTGGCATACCTTTCCAGTGGTGTACCGCCTGAGGGGTCGTTCATGTGTTTAATGATCTGATCGATACCCATGTTATTTTGAACGGCACCGGCAACGTTCATGCCTAACAGTTGTGCCAAATACCGGACATCATCGATATTTTTGCCGTCAAACGAATCGCACAAATTCAATGTTTTGCGCAATTTTACGACACCTTCCGGTGTTTTCAGGAGGTCTTCCATCTCGTAGTTGGCTTTCCTGCCAATTAGAACAACACATTATATAACAAACAATTTATGTATAATATTATTATTCAAAACTCATACCTGATATTATCTGAACACTCCTTTCCCAAAGCTTCGCTCACTACTCGCAAATACCCGGTGCAGTTCATATTAGACCCAACGGGAGCACTAGATGCTATGGCACCGACAGCTATGTTGGGATACTTTTCTCTAAACCATGCTGCTAATTTGCCCGCATACGAGCCCCCGAACACAACCCATTTGCTACCTTCAAGTGATAACTTTTTAGTCAAATACAATGAAAACTGTTCCAAGTCTTTGAGCGCCACTTCAAGTGTTAGGTATTTCAGGTTTTGAGTGGACAGGTCTGGTGTGGGAACAGATTTCCCGTAATACCTGTGCTCTAATGTGACGGCCAAAGCGCCGTACTTTTTGGCCATTTCTCCCATATAAGCAAAGGGTGTAATAAATGCTGTTTCTACTGGAGATTCACCACTAATCATAAGAAATACTGGACCACCCTTTTTGTAATAGGAATTCTCGATGTAATATAGCTATAATAAAATTAATATAATTTTGTTATTATTTATTTTAATTAATATTAATTATTTTGTATTCAAATATAACTTACCTGTTTGAATGTCGTATTGTCCTGTTTATTGAAGTGATCGACTCTCTGATCAAACCACTGTTCCTGTGGTTGTGGCGCAAACTTATCGTCATTACTAACAACCGGTGGTCTAATAAAACCGTATCTATCGGTCGGTCGACCCATAAATGTTTTGAAACCCAATTTGGGTTCGCAAAAAACTTCACACATAAATACAAAAACTAATAAAAGTTTTATATAATTCATTTTCAACTAATATATTTAAATATTGAATGACAATAATATGATTTATAATTGCAAAAACACTCTTATTATATACATATCAATAGTTTATCAAATTAATTTCAAGCATTTCTAATTTATCGCGGCATTTGTTTTCAAGGATAATAATGTATTGATAGGTATATAAATTAGATAAAGGTGCTTAACTATAGTACATAAGGTACATCATTTCAAAATTTATAAATTAATATATGAAAATATATACCCTAATGAATAAATGAATGCTTACAATGAAAATGTTTACAATGAAAATGCTTATTAAATTTCATTAAATTAAATTGGCACTAATGGCCAGCAATTGATTGTCGCCGTAATTGACAGCCGATTATGGTTTTGGTTGAGGCGATCACTTGTCGACCGTTTGTCTCCTAATAACATTAATATTAATATTATTTCATAAAATTTTAATCAACACAAAATTTAATAAAAATATTTATTATAATTTTAGTTTAAAATAGAATAAAATATGACAATTTAAAAGTTAAATTTATTTTTATAAATTAAAAAATTAATTAATTATTTTATTTTAAATATTCCCCGATTTGTTGTTCAATTAATTTGCGGGCGTTTTTCATACTCTGGTTATCCGTTGGTTTTGTGCCCCAGAAATCGTCGCAATGGGCGCCGCCTTCAATGACCGCTGTTTTTGTGCTATTGTTTAGGTCTTCGAGAATACCGCTGGCCTTCCAGGGGTCGAGTGAGCCGTTTGTGAGCACAACGTTTGTTATGTTTGGTCTTTTGCCACCATATGTGGCGACTGTTCGGTCGACCGCTTTCTGTATGGTTTGGGCTGTGATTTGTGGACCGAATACTTGAGTGCATTGATTGGTATAGAACTCGACGGGAATGTTGTGTCCAAATGGACTGTTTGGGACATCACTGGTAACAAAGTCGGCGAATGAAGTGCATTGTTGATATGACCATGGTCTCACTAGCAAGTAGAATATAATGTGCATTTAAAAAATTAATTTATTAATATAAATCAAGGCTCAATATTAATAGGTTATGTAATTACATACTCCATGAATTTGGACCAACAGTTGTATTCTGTAAGATCTTGATATAATTGGCATGCCTTATATCTATGCATTCTAGTGTTTGACCCTTAACCTCATTAACTCGTATATTTCCATACCTTTCCAGTGGTGTACCGCCTGAGGGGTCGTTCATTGTCTTAATGATGCGATCGATACCCGCTTTGTACTGAACAGATCCGCCGACATTCATGGCTAACAGTAGCGCCAAATACCGGATATCATCGATATTTTTGCCGTCAAACGAATCGCACAAATTCAATGTTTTACGCAATTTTATGACACCTTCCGGTGTTTTCAGGAGGTCTTCCATTTCGTAGTTGGCTTTCCTACCAATGATAACAACACATAATATAAAATACAATTTATATAAATTATTATTTACTAAAAAGCATACCTTATATTATCTGAACACTCCTTTCCCAACACTTCGGCGGCCACTCTTAAATAACCGGTACAGTTGTTTGTAGAGCCCACGGGTGCGCTCGAGGCTATGGCACCGACAGTTATGTTGGGGTACTTCTCCCTAAACCAAACGGCAAGTTTGCCCGAATAGGACAGACCCCACACAACCCATTTGCTGCCTTCAATTGACAACTTTTTAGTCATTCCCAAAATGAATTGTTCCGCGTCTTTGAGCGCCAATTCAAGGGTTAAATATTTCAAGTTTTGAGTGGACAGGTCTGGTGTGGGCACTGACCGGCCGTAATACCGGTGCTCTAACATTATGGCCAATGCGTTATACTTTTTGGCCATTTCTAGCCAATATGTATTAGGATTAGTATAGGGCTCGTCCAGTGCAGCTTCACCAAATAGAAATAGAAATACTGGTCCACCCGGTTTGTAATGAGTATCGTTATATACATAATACAGCTTTATATAAATATAATTCATTTGTATATTAATTATATAACTTAATTGCAGTATTTTATATTTAAGCATTAATTACCTGTTTAAAAGTTCTGTCGTCGGTTTTATTGAAGTGATCCAATCTCTGGTCAAACCAGTGGTCCTCTGGTTTCTCATAAAACTGATTGTCATTACTAACAACCGGTGGTCTAATAAAACCGTATCTATCGGTCGGTCGACCCATAAATATTTGGAAACCTAAATTAGTTTCTCCATAGACTTTACATATAAATACAAAAGTTAATAATAATATTTTGTAATTCATTGTTTAATCAAATTAATTATTAAATAATGAAATAATATGTTTTGTATTTAGAAAAACAATTCTCTTTATAAACACTTCTAACAATAATAGTTTGAGTAATTTGTTATCAAATATAAAAAAGCATTAATAAGTTTCCTATTGAGATAAACTTTGTATTGAACTACTTTATAGTACATAAGGTTCGTTATTTCTAAAAAGTATAGTTAATCAATAAGTTATTGATTAATCAATATGTCTTATTGAGAATAATATATCATACAACAAATGAATGGATTAATATATAGCATTTATACTAAATACACATGATAGTATAATTTATAAGTTATAAGCTATAGCTAAATTAACTTAGCTGTGTTTAATTTCATAAAATTAATTTCACTAAAACCAAAATTATGTAATGTTACATATTCTTACTTGTGTAACAATTTAGATATTAATTTGATTATGTATAAAAATATTTATAGTTAATTACGAGCCCAGATTTAGAGTCTGATGTTAATAAATTACAGTGTAATAAAACCATATATTGCACAAAAATTATTTGCACTATCAAAATATAAATATTTATAATTTGAAAAATTGAATTAACTTTGTTTAAACTTTACCATAATACAGTATATAACTACTTACTTTTTTAATAATAAATTAGTTTAATAATAAATCAAAAATGACAAAAGGACTTTTTGGGCTATCATACACTTAATCATGATCATTTAATTGGTTAACCATTTACAGCGCTGTTTGTTGTACCATGGTACTTTATTTCTCTCTCTCTCTCTCTCTCTCTCTCTTGACATTGAAATCAATAATAACAATACAAACATCTGTCGATCGAAGGGAAGCGTCCAAAGAGATAGAGGAGGACCTGAAGACACCCGTCGGTAGGGCTGAGTTGAAGAAGTTATTCAATCTGTGCGAGAGTTTAGACACCGCCGACACTTACGATGTGTACAACTTTGCCGAGAGTCTGACCGACGCCGTGGCAGTCGTTGTTCAGTATAACAATGATATGAAAGGCTTTTGCCGGACTGTCACCGACAAGACTGGTGGCGCCCGGGCTATAGACCGGTACGCGCGGGCACAGGCCTCCCTTCACGGCGGACAGTGTATTGACTTTAGCTATAAGAATCTGGTCAATAGTATCAGCCATACGTCCAAACATTCACCGGCCGTCTCAACAGGACGTATGTGATCGACACTTATTCCTATACAGTCTAACCTCTATATAAAGGAACCAATATAAAGATTAAATTTATATGATTTTACCATAAATAATTTCTTTATATTATATTTTTATATTAGAGTTTAATATACTGTACATTAATTTATTATTAATTAAATTTGTATACAAATACAGTGAGGCAATGGACTTATCAAACGTGCACTGAATTCGGTTACTATCAGACCACTAGCCTTAAAGACAATCCGTTTGGACATAACATTCCCGTCGAGTTTTTCACCAAACAGTGCGCCGATATTTTTGGTGTTTCAGCACAGGCTGTCCAGAAAGCCATCAGTCAGACCAATGCCTATTACGGGGCCCGTAAGCCACATGTCACAAATGTAGTGTTGCCTAACGGGTCACTCGACCCCTGGCACTCACTCGGTATCCTTAAAGACATTAATAACAGTACCAAAGCTGTTATGATTGACGGCGGGAGTCATTGCAGAGATATGTATGCCTCGAGTCCGTCAGAAAGCGAAAGTATGAAAAACGCCCACAAATTAATTGAACAACAAATCGGAGAATATTTAAAATAAAATTAATGTTAATTTAAATTTATTAAAATTTTTAAAAAATGTTACTTATTATTAACCATAATTGATGTTTTAAGTGTGATATCATGTCTGAATACAAAGCATTTACGACAAAGCATTGCGGGTCTTTGCCATTGGATTTGGTATAATATTGTATTTATTCAATGGCCATAAATAGACATCAATATCGTTCAAATGGTTATTATATTCAAATTTTTAACTAATTTTGAGCTTAAAATCTAATAAGTACTAAAAAATATATATTATAAAAACCAATACATTGTTTATCCGGTGTTAATATACTGTACACAAAGAATTTTTGAAAACACTTCTGCGCTAAACACTTGAAAAACAGTAAAGTCATAAGATACATTTCACCATAATTAATCAAGCCATTTTTAATGTTAATTAATTTTATAATTTGTCATTTATTGTGAAATCAATATAATTACAATAGTTTATCAAGCATAATTTAATTACCTAAGTTAATTGATTAGCCTATTGTAATTTTGGTCGGTCGGACAAGTGTTATGATAAATTAAGATTGCACATAGACTTGAGATTATGATAAGAAAAATGACAATTTAATACCAATTATTTGCAGTAATAGTTAATACAATTTAATCTATAAATGTAGGATTTTTACAATATAACACATACTAATGGTTGTCCAAAAAACATGATAAGTTTATTGTCGTTAGATGGTGTAATATTAATATTTAATATACAAATTTAATAATAAAGCTTCTAGATTAAGACAAATTGCATAATGATTTTGAAATGATTAACAACTAGGTTAGAATACTATATATAAGAAAGATTCTGTTTTGTTGAAGGTATAATTATAGTATTTAGTATTTTAAGTTTCAAAACTAAATTACAAATATGAATTATAATATTTTATTAGTTTTAGTATTTGTTTGTTATGCTTATAGCGAACCGAATCCGGGTTTCAATTTATTTATGGGTCGACCGACCGATGGATTCGGTTTTGTTAGACCACCGGTTGTTAGTAAAGAGGATAAGTTGGCCAATGAGGTGAAGGAGCAGTTTTATGACCAAAAGCTCGACCACTTTAACGAACGTGATAATCGTACATTTAAACAGGTAATTAGTTTTTTAATGTAACCAAGATTAAATTTTAAATAAAATACATAATCTTATAATTTATGAAAAGCTTTATTTCATGGATGACTCTAATCATGAAACTGATGGACCGGTATTTCTTATGATTGAGGGCGAGGGCGCCGCTCAGTCATCGTGGGTTACCTTTAGTTTTATGGCACAAATGGCCCAAAAATACGGCGCTTTGGCCGTGTCTTTAGAGCACCGGTATTACGGAAAATCCATTCCCACACCAGACCTGTCCACTCAAAACCTCAAATACCTGTCGAGTGAAATGGCGCTGAAAGACACGGAACAGTTTGCACTGTATTTGACCAAAAAGTTATCACTTGAAGGCAGCAAATGGGTTGTGTTCGGGGGCTCGTATGCGGGCGCTCTTGCGGCCTGGTTTAGGGAGAAGTACCCCAACATAGCTGTCGGTGCCATAGCGTCGAGCGCACCCGTCGGGGCTGTCGTCGACAATATGGGGTATATGGGAGTCGTTACTGAACTCTTAGGAAAGGAGAGTTCGGATATAATCAGGTATGATTGTTTATATTATTCATATCATTTGAATAAAAAGTTCTCGGTCAATCTTTTAAAATTATAAATTTGTTGCCCATATAAACGCTTTTATCATATCTAATAGGAAAGCCTATATTGAATTGGAAGAGCTGTTGAAAACACCGGAAGGTGTGATAAAATTACGCAAAACATTGGATTTATGCGACACTTTTGACGGCAAAAATGTCACAAATAATCATTATTTGTCGTATAAACTGATGTGGGCTTTAGTAAAGATGGCATATCTCGTCAATCCCAAGGATGATATACAATGGGTGCAAAAGGGATTGACCGACCCATTAGGGGGTACTCCACTGCAACGCTATGCCAACACCAGTTGCTTTCTATGCCACCAAAAGTGTAACGAAATTAATTACGACGATCTGATCCGACCGTTAAGAAACACCTCCATTGATAACTCTGGAAGTTTGTGCACTTAATTATCATACATATAGTTATCTAATGTTTACTAGTAATCTATGTTGACTATGTTGTCAAATTATCTTTGTTATCTAGATAATTACTTTTAATTTTATATTAATTACCATATTTTTTACTAATTTGAAATTTGATAAATAATATAATTTATTGTATTTAATAATTATTATATTTTAATATTTAATTGATTAATAGACAGACAGTGGTTGTATCAGACGTGCACTGAATTCGGTTACTATCAGTCGAGTGATCTCCCGAACAGTCCCTTCGGACACAACATTCCCGTCGAGTTCTATACTCAAAGATGCGCTCAAATTTTTGGCCCTGAATTCACGGTCCAAACCATTCAAAAAGCGGTCGACCGGACGAACGCCTATTACGGGGGTCTAAAGCCAAACGTAACAAACGTGGTGTTCCCTAACGGGTCACTCGACCCCTGGCACGCACTCAGTGTCCTTAAAGATCTCAATAACAGTACCAAAGCTGTTGTGATTGAAGGCGGCGGTCATTGCGATGATATGTATGCATCAAATGCTGATAGAAACGAAAGTTTGGACAGTGCACACAAATTGATTGATCAACAAATCGGCCAATATTTGAAATAAATTAATAATTAAATAAACTATTAATTTAAATAAAGATTTATTAAACTGAATAAAATCAAAATTTTGAATTTAATATTTAAAAACAATATTTTACTTTTTTTAAAATAACTACAATTTACGCATGTATTCTTTAATACTTTATATTGGATATACTTTATATAATATAATGGACATTTTTAATAATGAAATCAGAATTGTTCACTGTATATTTATTATTTAAAGTATATAGATCTTCATGGATATTAAAATTTTTTACAACTACCTTTATACTATTCTATAGAATTTATAAAAAAAAGGTTCTGAATTTTCTTTGAATTGGGCATGATCAAATTCAATGTCACTTGATTAATTATAAACTGTTGAGTTAATCATAATGTGAGAATTATAACACATTTCATTATCAAGGCTCAAAAAATATCATTTTGAAAAATATACAAATAAGTTATTATTTGAAATAACAATCAAAATAAACTTACAATAAAAATTTTAAAAAATTATTTTAAAACATGGTATAATAACAATAATATTTGTGTGTAATAACAGAATATTCTGTAAATAAAATTTTAATATAACAATACTTGTAAACTCATAATAGAAAGTATTTTGGTAGAAATGGTATAAGATTTGTCAAATTATTACTAGCTTGTAAGAATATAACTTTATAATGATAAGTTGTGACAATTGAATTATAAACAGCTGTTGCAACCCTCAAAGACACTAATCGCAATAATTTAATCTATATAATTCAATTAAGAATACAATAGAGTAATTATACAAGATTATTTATCTAATATATACTGAATATTCTGTTTCAGCCCTGGTGCTGGTATAGTGTTAATTACTTTATATGTAGTTACTACTTTATATGTAGCTAAAGTATAGTCAATTAATTTAGTTTATGATTAGACTTTACAGTGGTTACAATGACTCGGTATTTAGTATTAGTTGTAATTTGCATTCACTTTGTATGCAATAGTGAGGCAATCAGTGGACGGCTCTTATTCCGGGGCCGACCCGTCGATAAGCACGGAATGGTTAGACCACCGGTGGCTCCAATCGGACACTTCACTCAAAGCTTGGCTCAAACTTACAAACAGAAAGTCAATCATTTAGACCCCAAAGACAACCGCACTTTCGATCAGGTTTTGTAAAATTAATTTATTTATTTTATTGAAAACTCAATATAATTTCTACTAATAAACTAATTTTTTCAATATTAAAATATATAATATTTATGTATGTCCTAAATACATTTTTACTATGTAATTTTATTAACCATGTATAGCTGTATTTCACGAGTGGCACCCACCACAAACCGGGAGGGCCCTTGTTTTTATTTTTTGGCGGTGAGGGTGCGGCCAGTGCTGGTTGGCTGGAGTCCAGTTTCATGGCTGATATGGGCCGCAAATACGGCGCTTATCTCGTAGAGCTGGAGCACCGGTACTACGGAGTGTCCCAACCCTTTGACGAGCTGACCGTCGAGAATATGAAATACCTGTCCAGCGAACAGGCATTACAGGACACCGACGACTTCTTACACTTTTTACTTAAAAATCTAAAACTAGAGGGCAGTAAAGTGGTTGTGTTCGGGGGTTCTTATGCCGGAGCACTGGCCGCTTGGTTTAGGGAGAAGTACCCGAAAACAGCCGCCGGTGCCATAGCCTCGAGCGGACCCGTCGAGGCTGTCGTTGACTTTAAGGAGTATTTAGGAGTCGTTACTAATTCGTTGGGAAAGGAGTGTTCGGATAACATAAGGTATGATAACAAACATCATTATCAGTGATAATTTATCACTGAATTCTCTCTCTCTCTCTCTCTCTCTCTCTCTCTTTCTCTCTCTTTCTTTCTCTCTCTAACACTGAAACCAATGATAACATAAACATCTGTCGATCGCAGGGAAGCGTCCAAAGAGATAGAAGAGGACCTGAAGACACAGTCAGGTCGGGCGGAGTTAAAGAAGTTATTCAATCTGTGCGAGAGTTTAGACGGCGTCGACACTTATGATGTGTACAACTTTGCCTCGAGTCTGACCGACACCGTGGCGGGCATTGTTCAGTATAACAGTAACATTCAAGGCTTTTGTCGGACTGTCACCGACAAGACTGGTGGCGCCCGGGCTATAAACCGGTACGCGCGGGCACAGGCTAGCCATCACGGCGGACAGTGTATTGACTTTAGCTATAAGAATATGATTAAGAGTGTCAGCCAGACGTCTAAACACTCATCGGCGGTCACATCCGGAAGTATGTAATCGATATTTAGTCTGACTTCCATATAAGGGAGTCTTTATAAAACCTTTATATCATTTGAATTTGATATAAGAGAGGTTTATGTGATAATTCCTATTTACCGGGGTCAGATTGTAAACTATTAAAGTTTAGTATACATTGGATATTGATTATATTTTTAATTATTAATTTTTGTATACAAATACAGTGAGACAATGGACTTATCAAACGTGCACTGAATTTGGTTACTATCAGACCACTAGCCTTAAGGACAGTCCGTTCGGTCATAACCTTCCCGTCGAGTTCTTCACCAAACAGTGCACCGATATATTCGGTGTCTCAGCACAGGCTGTCCAGAAGGCCATCGATCAGACCAACACTAATTACGGAGGTTTTAAACCAAATGTGACAAACGTGGTGTTCCCTAACGGGTCACTCGACCCCTGGCACGCACTCAGTGTCCTTAAAGACCTTAATAATAGTACCAAAGCTGTGATGATTGAAAATAAGGCTCATTGCGGGGATATGTATGCCTCGAGTCCGTCGGAAACCGAAAGTTTGAAAAACGCTCACAAATTGATTGAACAACAAATCGGCGAATATTTGAAATAAATTTAACGATAATTTGTAATTTTATTGAAATAAATAAAGTGAAATCCAAAAATAATGTTTTGATTGCATTTAAGTAACAATTGAAAGTATTTAACACTCGATAAAATCTAATTGTAATAATAGATTAATTTCGTTTTAAGAGTTATCAATATTCAGATTTGTAGCCAATTTTGAGCTCAACATAAAAAATCTAATGAATAACATAAACATCTGAAATGAGAGTAAAATTAATTTTATTTTAAATAACAATTAATTGAATGAATGCCTACTTTGAAGGCAACACTTCTGGTGATAACGTATTGATTACTACACGAAAAGCCAATCAATTTGTTTCTATCGCTCACTCTCTCAATGCATATCATTATCTTTCAAATAAAATTANCCCCACCACTGAACTGGCAAACAGTCCGTTCGGACACAACGTTCCCGTCGAGTATTACGTTCAACAGTGCGGCGCTATATTCGGGCCGCAAATCACGGGTCAAAGCATTAAGAAAGCGGTCGACCGGACAGTCGCCACATACGGGGGACTAAAGCCCAACGTAACTAACGTTGTGTTCCCTAACGGAGCGCTTGACCCCTGGAAGGCCAGCGGTATTCTTCATGACCTAAACAATAGCACTAAAGCCGTGATCATTGAAGGCGGAGCTCACGGCGCAGACTTCTGGGGCACAAAACCAACGGATAACCAGAGTTTGAAAAACGCCCACAAATTGATTGACCAACAAATTAGCGAATATTTGAAATAAATTCATTATTTTAAATTATTTAAGTATCTATTACTTGAATGGTGTGACAAATTTATATCCTTATAGTGTTATCAGAATTTAATGTGAATATTATTAACCAATATATAACAATTTTGTTAATTTATCATTTAATAAAACATTCAATAAGTCATTGAATATTCGTTATAAAGTAATGTGCTCAATATTTATTTAGAAATTAATTAATTATTATATTTTTAAGTAATTAACTAGTACAGAACTAAATGTAAATGTTGACTTTAATTCCCGTCCTGTCGAAAATTTTTATTTTACATAAATTATTAATATTAAAATTATATTTAATTTATAATGTTTTATACTTTAACATACATGTACTGTACACATATTATAGTAAGTTTTAGTTTTTAGAACATATAATTTTGTTACAGCTCTCTCTCTCTCTCTCTCTCTCTCAGCACATTAATTAATTAAAGTAATAGAGTCGTGATATTATAGCATGTATTATAAGCTATTATAATATAAATATTATTATATTGTTGCCAAAGATTTTATAATAATGACAAACATAAATATTTTTGGTTAACTGTAAGTCTATATCTGGTACTAAAAACATTCATTTATAATTTAAAACATTAAACAGAGAAAATGGTTAATTTGAATATAGCGTGCATTTTAAATATATCTTTTATAAAGTATAATGGTTGATCAAAAATATAATTTAACATATAATTAACATTATTACAAAAGATGTTTTTTATAAGAAAATTAACATATAAAGTATCTTTACTACTGTATATTAATAGTAAAAATGTAATTGAGTTTTGACTAAATAAATATTAAAACTTATTATTGTAGCAAAAATAAAATAATATTTAATTTTAATATTAATATTATCAAAATAATTATCAGATCTTTAAATATTAAAAACAATGGATGTATCAAATAGTATGGATATAAGCGAACCGTTGTATAAGTATTGGATATTTTGTAGATATGATGTCAACAGATATAGAATTGTTTCAACAAAACAACGAATTATACAAAAATTAAAAATATGTTCAATAATTACAATCTTTGTAATAAATATAATTCGTTATGTGTTTTATTTGTATAAAAGTAGACCAAATATATTATTACCTTATTATTATTGTGAAATATTACAATATATTGGTGTTAAAAAGGAGATTGTATATTTTTTACTGTATTATACAAATTTAGACACAAATTAAAATTAATATTTATATTTGTGAGCATTATTTTCACTAATATTTACCAAACTATATTATAGCCGATAATTACCGATAGTTAGCAAACGTAGTTAGCCAAATGCAGATAAAAGATTAATTAAAAAATTTGCTACAAAACTAGTAGTTATTTACAAATTAATTAAATTCTGTTTAAGAATAATTAATTTAATTACTTCAATATTTATTTTATCCATTGTATGGATTAATCTCAAATATTATAATCTAATAATATATGCCATCATTAGTATAATTATGGCACAAATAATGCCTTTAATTATATTTCCAACACTTTTCTATACATTATTTTATTATCTCATTGTTTGCTATTATTTTAAAACTAGATTTATTCAAAATATTATTAATTTCCAAAATTATTATAAACAATCGCTATTTAAATCTTTAATCACTCAATTTTATGTTAATTTAGTTTTGTTAGAAACAAACCTATAACTTAACGTATTGTTCAAAACCGCATTATAGATAAAATATTATAGCATATGTAATAATGGCTACTTAAGTTACTATAACATATAATAAATACATGAAACACATTTTTTATTTGCAGTAATTATTTGCATTGTTTTCCTTATTTCAACATTAATACCACTTTTTGGAATAAATATATTAACTTCTGATATAAACAGTAATATTACAAAAACATATCACTTAATAAATAAATTTTATTTTGAAAATAACGATAAATTATTATTCAGAAGCAAACTAAAGGTTTGAAAATATCAGTTTTTTATAAATAATTTTTAATACATAAAAATATAATATATTTAATTAATTTTATTTGAAAGATAATGATATGCATTGAGAGAGTGAGCGATAGAAACAAATTGATTGGCTTTTCGTGTAGTAATCAATACGTTATCACCAGAAGTGTTGCCTTCAAAGTAGGCATTCATTCA